AATGCACGTACTATTTCTAGAACGTGCAAGTGCTCTGCTCATTCACGGGAGCCAGCCTGGTGTGATAAGAGTTCCACCCACGTTGCCTCCTCCTGATTGAGGCTATCAAGCCGGTGTCGGAAAGCACCCCGCGCGATCTGCCGTTACATAATGCAGCCCGGCTCCGGGGAACTGGCAGAGTTCTGGAATTTGTGTTTGGTCCTAATGTTCTGTAATGTTGGCAAGTGAGATTCCTGCTCTGAGTGAGTGACAGCTGGAGCTTCGAAGCAGGAACATTTGCCCACCAAAGTTGCTGAACTCACCCACTGCCAAGTCTGTCACTGAAGAGGCAGATAGGCAGGGACAGCAGAACGTGGCATGAGCTATGCCACGCTCCTCTGCACCTTCAGGTCCCAGCCCTGGGTGCCTGCCTGTGAGACTGAGGAAGGCCACACTTCTCAATGATTGTTTTATGTCCCTTTCTACAGCACCCTCTAAGAATCTCAGGTGCTTGAATGTAGGGAGGACCATGCTTTTTCTCAGGCGGAGAGCTGAGGTGTGAGGAAAGGAACGGATACATTTTGGCAGATTTAAATCTTAGACTGATTCTTACAGCATGAATGTTCTCACCTGGGCATTCTGTCCTGCTGCTGCAGGTTACTGCCATTGCTGTGGGACAGGGATGGGTGCCCACCTCTGCTCTCAGCTGCTCCAGGCATGAGCTGGTGTCTCAGGGCTCTGGTTCACATGGACAGCCTGAGGTGGGATGGACACTCAGCTAATGAGACAGACCCTTCTCTAAGGCTAGCTTCCCTTTGGAGGCAGCTTGAGACCCACCATGGCTCTGATTTCAGCGTGTACTTCAGAATTTGCTGAGGTGTAGGGCCACATTTCCTCCAGCTGACTTTGCTCTGGGGCTAGGAGTCTGTAGCCGAGGAGCAGCTGATAACATGGCCAGGGTGACAGCAGCTCCAAACGCCACAGCAGGATGCGAGGCATGCCCTGCAGCTTGGGCAGAGAAGGGCTGTGGCAGAGCAGGAGGTGACACAAGTCTGTGTCAGTGCACAGAACATGATCACTGGGTCATCATCTGTGCTGGCCTGGGTTTGTTTTCACCCGCCCTTCCAAACTGCCAGGGTTTCTAGGTGTTAGCAGTCGGCATTTGGGCAATTCTCTGTGTGCTCACCTGCCACTTGCAATGGCTTGTTAGTACAACCCAGCAAGGGAAGAGCGTGCAGGAAGTACAGACCGGGCTGGAGATGCTCCGTGTGCTACAGAGCTGCTGGGAAGCAGAGATGCAGGAGGTGCAGCGATGGGGTGCATCGCTCTTGCTCCACAGCTCTCCCGGGGCGCTCCCAGCCCCAGCTGTGCCCTCTGGCCCTGTCTCTGCCGAGGCAGCTCAGCCCCCTGCCCCCGGGGCTGACCCTGCTGCCATCACCAGCGCCGGGGGCCATCCCACCCCCCTTTCCGCGGGGTGTCCGAGCCCAGGACACCGCAGGGGGCCCGGCGGGGGGTGCCGTGTCTGGGGGCTCTCGGGGGGCTCAGCCGCTCCTGCGGCCGGGGGCGGCCCCGCATCCCTCCCCACAGCGCCCGGCGCTGGGCTGAGGCTGTAGCAAACTCCCTGGCAAGAGCTGTTTGTTGACCACATTCACGTTCAGAGCCCTGAAGCTAAAAGCACTTTACACCATAAAATAAAAGCACTGTCTTTTTTTCTAAAAGGTTACGTCTGGAGGCCACGCTGCTCATACTTCATACAGAAAACTACTGAAAGGGCTATGAAATCCTCTATGATTTACACTCCCTCTCAGTGCATTAGGATATAGATCTACTCGACTCTAAAAATACTGTGGAGTTTCTAACCGACGTGAATATATGTGCATTATTTCAGAAAGTCTGTTAGAAAACTTGTCAACACATTATAAAGCATAAACCAGGACTTGGCCATTAAATACAGAGATCAGAGACAAAATGTATACGGCAGGAAGTACCGAGAAAAGTCCCTCCATTCAAAAAAAAAAGTCTATTAGCTAAAAGTTTACACACAATATACACCAAAAGGTTTAGAGCGAGACCGTGGACCGCAATTACAAGGCATAAATGGAATCAGTAGGGGCTTTACAGTCCCCAGCGCAGTTAACTGGGCTGCCAGAAAATAATTTTAATATTGTCATAATTTATTACCCACCGAAAGCCACATCAAGGATTGTAAATACAGTCACTTTGTGTCCACGACTGCTCGTTAAACAGCCTCGTTCCCTTCCCCTAAAAATACAATGAAATAAAAACCCACCTGCATTATTAATCTGCGGTCATGCCGTGTTAAAAATGTCTTCTCACTCCTTTTCTTTCTTGAGGTTTGTTATCTCCCTCCAATCACATGACAATGCGAAGCGCTGTGGGGTGGGGGGGGGGGTACAGGAACGAGGGGGAGCCAGCACTATTGCGATCAAATGCTAATATTAATAATTATCCAGCCAGGATGAAATATTATTTTTAAAGCAGCGAGTTTCCATTTAAATCGAGGCATTTTACGGTGCTGGAATTAAGGGCATGCTGATGGTAAGAACATCCTCGCTGCCATTCATGAAAGCATCTGTAAAATTAGCTCCTGACTGTAGGTTTTGAGATGCGGTCTGGGAAGTCACCTCTGGAATCTCAAACACGGCACGATAATGAAACAGATTTAGTTGTCACCAAGTGCTTAATTTGCTATGATTTTTTAAAAAAGAAAATCAATGAAACGATGCCTGTGATTGGGAATAAGCACAGGTAGGTGCCCTGATGCAGGCTGGATTTAGAGAGCGTAATGAATTGTAATTCAGAGGAGTGTTAACTGCGAACCGCAGAACCTTTCAGGGGTAATAAAGTCATTACTTTTTACATTGCAGCCACCTTCAAAAGCTTTATACGTGCCATTAGATATAAATCAAGCCCCATATATATATCTACATCTCCGGTACAGACACACACGCCCGTGCTCCGCGCAGGGACATGTGCACGCCCGGCACAGCCAGCCCTGCGAGCGGCGTGAGCCCAGCAGCCGCCGCTGTTGTCACCTGCGGCTGGGTCCCTCGGCCACGTCCCGCACCCCGCTCCGGCAGCCGCGGGGCGCATCCCCGCGCCGGCGGGTACAGGAGGGGAGCGGGGGCCGAGCGGCGGCGGGCGGAGCCCGGGGGCGGCTGGCGGGAAGCTGAAACCATGGCACGGCGGAGCGGCGCGGCCCCGGCCCCTGACAGCTCCGCCGGGGCGCGCTCGGGCTCGCCCCGCCAACAGGTCCCCGCCGAGCCCCGGCCCCCGCCGCCCCCTCGCTGCCCCGGCTCTGCCCGGCGAAGTGTCCCTTACGGCGGCGGGCAGCTCCTCGTTCCCCCCCGGGCTCTCGCCCGGCGCTCCGCTCCTGCTGTCCGCCGCCGTCCCGGGCACGGTTAGCCCCTCGCACTCCCTTCCGCAGCCGCACTTTGCTCCGCACACCCGTTCGCCTCCAGAGCTTATTTCTACCGCAACCTGATCCCTCCCGGTGCCGGCAGCGTCCGCCTCGCTCCGGGTCCTTTCGGCGAAGTTGCAGCCGCTGCCGCCGCCGCATCCTCCCAACTCCAGCCACTTCTCGGTGCCTCCCGCCGCCTCGCCTCCCCCTCTCTCCCGCCCTCCCCCGTTGCCAGCCCGCTGCCCGCGCCGCCCCGCCGCCGGCAGCCCCGCGTTTCGCTTTCGTTCAGAGCCCGTGGCTGCGGGCAGGGCTCGGAGCGCCGCCGGGGGACGAAGGGGGGCTCCGGGGCTGGCGGGCGCGAGCAGCCCGCGGGGAAAGCCGCGAGGTCCCGCCGCCCTCCGCTCCCCCCGCGCCCAGCTCCTGCGGCTTCTCCTCCCCTGCCTGCCGCTTCCTCGCCCGCCAAACTCCGCTCGCTGCTCCCCCGCCCGCCCCGGGGCAAGGGCCGCCGCTCGCAGCCGAAGTTTCCCGCGGCCCGGCCAGAGCCCCCGCCGCCCCCCAGCTCCCCGCGGAGCCGCCGCCGCCGCCGTCCCCCGGGGACGGCCCGCAGCTCCCGGGAGGAGGGGACTCGGCGGCTTCGAGGAGGATGGGGCGGGGGGGGGGCGAGCGGGGAAGCCGGGAGCCGGATGCACCCCCCCCCCTCCTTGCTTTTTGGGTGGTCTCCGGTCCTACCTGGCTTCCCCCAGCTCCCCCACCTCCTCGGCACAGCCCGCGGCCAGCCTGCCCCGCAGCCCTCTCTGCCCGGCTCTGCCTTCACCGATGTGTTTGCTTTTCCAGCGGGGGTGTGCGTGCGAGAGCTGCCGCTGCCTGCCTGCCTGCTCGCTTTCTCCCGCTCCTTTTCCTCCCTTCTCTCTCCCCGTGTGCGTGTTTAATTTCCCCCCCCTCGCCCCTCTCCGGGGTCCCCTCTTGCACCCGCTCCTCGGCGGCCACTCGCGGCTCCGGCCGCCGCCCCCTCCGCCCCCGGCCCCTCGGCTCCATTCGGCAGCGTGCGCCGGGCGGCCGGTGTGTCCATTGGCTTGTCCTGCTCTCTTTTTCATGTCCAGCCCCTGATGAGTGTCCATTGGTGTTGCCTTCGCCTTCCCTCCTCCCCTCTCCCCGGCTTGCCCTGCCCATGTTTTGTATGTCTCTGTCCATCCAGGCTCCTGACGTTCAAGTTCGCAGGGACGTCACGTCCGCACTTGAACTTGCAGCTCAGGGGGGCTTTTGCCATTTTTTTCATCTCTCTCTCTCCTTCTCTCTCTCCCTCTCTCTCTCTCCCTCTCCCTCTCTCTCTTTTTTTTCCTTGCACAAAAAAAAAAAAAAAAAAAAAAAAAAAAAAAAAAAAAAAAAAAAACAAAATCACTCGGCTTTTCTCCGAGACCTACGGCCTGAAAAGCCGTCGTTATAAAGCTTTAACTATAAGAACGCCTGGCTCTGTCTATTCATTACCCCCCCCCCCCCCCCCCCCCCCCCCCCCTTTCTTTTTTTTCCTTTCAAAAAAAAAAAAAAAAAAAAAAAAAAAAAAAAAAAAAAAAAAAAAAAAGCCATGACTGCTATCCCACAATTCATCTTCCCTGCGCCATCTTTGTATTATTTCTAATTTATTTTGGATGTCAAAAGACATTGATGAAGATATTTTCTCTGGAGTCTCCTTCCTCTCTAACCCGTCTCTCCCGATGTGAACCGAGCGACTCACAAGCCACCGAAGCCACCAACCCACCATGTCGCGCCGCAAGCAAGGCAAACCCCAGCACTTAAGCAAACGGGAATTTTCACGTAAGTAACCCGGAGAGCAATTTATTTAATTTCCCCTTCACGGATTTAATTTTTAATTCGAGCGAAAGCAGGGAAAAAAAAATTAAAAGTGAGAGGGAGTGAGCGAATCGGGGAAAAAAAATTAACTCAGCGCCGGCTCGGGATTCTCAGCATTCCGGGTAATTTCTCCCTCTCTAATTTAATCACCTTGATGACTTTTCTTCTCTTTCTGCCCGTGCCCCTCGCCCTCCGGCGCGCACTCCGCTGCCCCGCTCCGCGCTCGCCTCTCGCCTCCCGCTCTCCGCGCTCTTTGGCGGCAAGAGCGGCAGCTCTCGCCCGGCACCGGGAGAGGCGCGGGCGAGGTGCAGGGCTGCCGGGGGCACAACCGGCCGAAAGTGGGAAGAAATTCCTGCGGGAGCGGCGGGGCTGGTCGCCGGACACCGCGGTGGCCGGGCGGGCGGGATGTGCGGGCAAGCGGAGCGCGGAGAAAGTCCGGCGGCCGGAGCCCCCCGGGCTGCCGGCGGGCTCGCCCCCTCGCCCCGCGGCGCCCTCCCGGGGGGGCCACAGCCGAGCCCAGCCGGGCCGCCTCCCGGGGGGAGCCGAGCCGAGCCGCGCCGCGCCGGCTGGGATTCCCTCCTCGCCCTCGCCTCGCGTTCTCCCGCTCGCTTACTATTTTTTGGAAGATTTTCAAAAAAAAAAAAAAAAAAAAGTGGAAGTGGATTTTGATTGGGAAAAATCTCGTGTCTGAATGTTTACAAGCACCGCGTGTGCGGGGAGCCTCCTGCCAACAAACACAGGCGAGAGCGAGCCCGGGCTGAGCACACACGCGCGCTCACACACACGCACGCACACACACACACTCGCACCCTCACACCCGCGAACGGCCCTTTCTCGCCGCCGCATTTCAACCCCAAACCAAACCCGCTCTCCCCGGGAGAGAAAAAACAAACCCCGAGCCCCACCACACCGTTCGCAACAAAAACTCTCCGGCTCCCTCCGTCCCTCCCTCCAGCCGCCACCACACACACCAGGGCTAGATGCAAGATAAGCGGGAGCGCTCTTTGCACAACAAAAGGCAACTCGAGCTGGAAAGGTTTGGGGCGAGGGGGGTGGGAAGGAAGGGAGGAAAAAAAAAAATCCTCTTTTCCTCGGGGTGAGCCTGGGGGAAGGGGAAATGCTGCATGCTTTTCCTCACTCCTTTCCCCCCCTTTTCTTTATTTCTTCCTTTCTCTCTCTCCCATTACTCCCGGCGGGTTTTGTTCCCTCCCAGGGATAGCAGAAAACCCAGGGCCGTTTCTTCCTGCCAGCCATGCCCGGCTCCCTCGGCCCTTCGCAAAGCCCCCCAAACTTTCCGCCGCGATTTCTGTTCCCCCGCGGCCGCCCAGACATTGCAGCCAGGTTCGCACATGGAGCGATGGAAGCAGCGCCGGCTCTTTGCAGGCGGCCGCTCCGCCGCGGGCACGGCCGGCCGGGGGCTCTGCCTGCCCAAAGTTTGCCCTAAAACCCGGGGTGTGTCGGGGGCTCAGCCCCTCCCCCCGTCGTCTCTTTCCCCCGATACTTTTCGGGGAGCCTTTTTTTTTCTTTCTTTAATTTCTTTTTTTTTTCATTGCCTGGCTAGGGATGGGGTGCAGCATCACTGGCATATGGGGATGGGCACCCCCCCCGGAAATGGGGTACGGGGGTGCTTTCCCCGGGCAGCCGTGGAAGTGGGGTGCGGGGAGCGGGGATCGCGGCGGGACCGGAGGAGGGGGTGGGGAGCTCCTGCTCGGCCCCCGGGGCTGCGGCGACGGGCGGGATCCCCGCGGCTGCTTCTGGCCGAGGAACGCGCGGGCCGGCGCGGAGTGCGCGCACGTGCGGGGCGGGAGCGGCGGCCGGGACGGGCCCGGGGGGTCCCTCCGGCGAGAGCCGCCCCGGCGGTGGGGAGGGGGGTGTGGGTGGG